GCCTGGTTGTGTGAGAATGCTTCAGAACTGAGAGTTGGACATCGTGGACTTGACACCTACAGTATATAGCATGCGTTTTCCTATAAAGCATACCCATCACATACTTCCCTTTTGGGATAAATAGTGTTACGCAAAGCATGGACAAGGACTAAAAGATTGTAAGAGGCTGAAATTAAAGGTATGAGCTAAGAAAAGAAATGGAAATATGGCTAAATCTACTTTGCTCCATACCCTTTTCTTCTGACAAACCACACTTGCAAACTACATCCATCCTCTGCTTCATACCATGTCTTTTATGTCAGGTTCAGCCCAGCTCAGTGCACGCCAGACAAGCTAGCCGCCATTCCGCCCAGCTAGTTCCAAGCACGCCTGGTCAGCTTCCTTGCCTCAGGCGCTGGCGGGCGAAAGAGGAAGAACTTACCGCAACTTAACTACGGCAGGTGGCAGCACTTAGCCTGCAGGAAGGTTTCAATTACCTTGTAACAAGTGGGACTTCCCCAGCTGCCGCAGGCATGCCACCAACAACAGCAACAAAGACCTCCGCAGTTCAAGCCGCGATCAGAATATTGGAAAGGGGCCACGATAATAAAACCTCAGGACATTTTGGGTTTGTAAGAACCTTGCACTTGTTGTGCAGACAATTCTGGTAGCCTTCTATGAGGAAAGACGTGGCAGAACATGTAAACACCTGCCCCACGTGTGCGATGGCCAAAAAACAGGGAGGGAAACCCTTAGGACTACTACAACCCATGGCCACCCCCCACCAACCCTGGAAACAAATAGCCATGGACTTTATTGTAGATTTACCCGAAAGCAACCACCAAACGGTGATCTGGGTGATAATAGACCTATTCTCCAAATAGGCACACTTTATACCATGTGCCTCAATCCCAACAGCAAAAAGGTTGGCAAAGATGTTCATACAGTACATATACCGCCTCCACAGCGCCCCCCAAAGGGTGATCCTGGATTGCGGAACATAGTTCACCTCAAAATTTATAAAAATGATGGGCTCCACCCAATCCTTTCCCCATTAAAAAAATCATTAGCACAGTCTCATTCAAACTGGCTTTACCAAAAAACTACAAAAAGGTTCATCCAGTATTC